CCGCCCTCCCGCCCCCCCCCCCAGGGCTTTGGACAGTCAACAAGCATCTGTGCTGCACATCAGAGAAGGGAGAGTGCACAAAGCCCCGAGTCGTGACAACGCTTGGCTCTGAACGTTCACACAGAACATCTTCTGCATGCTGGGCTGTGACAGTGCATCAGCTGCAGCTGCACGTTCTTTTAGTTTGGTTTGAATGATTAGAAAATATGTTTTGTTGCTGCGTTTAATTGAAGCTGACAGCAGGAAGAAGCTCTGTCAGTGATGTTTCCATAATCCAAAAGATCCCAGAGAAACGCTGCAGCTCGTAACTCGTGCAGGTCAGTGAGGTGCAGCCAAGAACAACGTGTTCTCTTTGTAACTAAAGCATGAACTGGACTTAAGTGCAGGTACTGTGTGACCCTCAGTGAGTCAGGACGTCACGGCAGAGCATCTGCTCAGTTACTGTCAGACATGTTGGACTTTATCAGCTGTTGGTGTTTTAAAGCCAGAACTTCTGAAATAACCTCTTAACTGTCACAAAGACGTTGTCTCTAAGAAACCTCTCCCTGTTCTTGCAGCAGACGATGAGGTCCGGACCCCTGAGGACAAAGGACTGATCCCCTTCATCTTCCTCTTGTGCTCCATCTGGAGGCGTCCCTTCAGCCGCCTCACTCCGTCACCATTTCTTCCCGTAGTTCGTCCCCAAAGCGTTTCAAAACTGTTTCTCCAACGCTTTTTCCAAAAACTCAGACTGTTTTCCAAAGCAGAAGCAGCTCAGGCCTCCCAGACTGAGGTGATGGGAAGCGTGCGAGCCAGCCGCTATAGCACCGTGTCATCAGAGGAGGACAGCATGAAGCTCGCCACCACCGTCGTGCCCAACGGAAAGGCCAAAGTGAACACGAGGCACCAGCCACCCAGCAGGTTCGTGAAGAAGGACGGCCACTGCAACGTGCAGTTCATCAACGTGAGCGAGAAGGGACAGCGCTACCTGGCCGACATCTTCACAACGTGCGTGGACATCCGCTGGAGATGGATGTTTGTCATCTTCTGCCTCGCCTTCATCCTCTCCTGGCTGTTCTTCGGCTGCATCTTCTGGCTGGTGGCCATCTTTCACGGGGATTTGGAAGACCACCCCCACATGTGCATCTCCAAAGTGAGCAGCTTCACTGCTGCTTTCCTGTACTCCATCGAGACACAAACCACCATCGGTTACGGCTACAGATACGTGACGGATGAGTGCCCCGTCGCCATCTTCGTGGTCGTTTTTCAGAGCATCGTGGGCTGCATTATTGACGCCTTCATCATCGGCGCCGTCATGGCCAAAATGGCAAAGCCAAAGAAAAGAAACGAGACTCTGGTGTTCAGCCATAATGCCACAGTGGCTATGAGGGACAACAAGCTCTGCCTGATGTGGCGTGTGGGGAATCTGAGGAAGAGCCACCTGGTGGAGGCGCACGTTCGAGCTCAGCTTCTCCGGTCCAGAAGGACAGCGGAGGGCGAGTACATCCCCCTCGACCAAACGGACATAGATGTGGGCTTTGACAGCGGGGTGGACCGCATCTTCCTGGTCACCCCAATCACCATCGTCCACGAGATCAACGCGGACAGCCCCTTCTACCACATGGACAAACAGGACATGGAGAGCGCCGGGTTTGAGATTGTGGTCATCCTGGAGGGTATGGTGGAAGCCACGGCGATGACCACGCAGTGCCGCAGCTCCTACATCGCTAGCGAGATTCTCTGGGGTCACCGCTTTCAGCCGGTACTCTTTCAGGAGAAGAACTACTACAAGGTGGACTACTCCCGTTTCCACAAGACTTACGAGGTGCCGAGCACTCCTTTGTGCAGCGCCAGGGACCTCGCAGAGAAAAAATACCTCTCCAACTCCAGCACCTTCTGCTACAAGAACGAGATGGCGCTAGAGAAGAAGGAGGACTCGGACGAGGGGAACGGGAGCAGCGTTGGCCCCGACGGCACCCAGATGGACAACGTCTCAGAGAGCGAACACCACCAGGCTTTGGTGCCGCTGGAGTCCCGGCCTCGGAGGCAAGAATCAGAAATATGACTGTTCAGACCTCGTACGTAAAAACCACCGTCTCTTGATGAGCACAACGAGCCGGGCCTGGAGGAGGAGAACCAACGGTACCGCTGTGGGAAGCTTCAGGACTTTAAACGTAGGAGTCTGTCTGAGGTTTGACCGTCAGATGAAACAGCACCAACCCTCCAGGAACTCTCCACAAGTCTCAGCGCCTGCGATGACGAGGCGGGCCGCTCGCTCCGGCAAGAACAAGATGTTTGTCAATGTTTCTGTAGGTTTTCTTTTTTTAGTGCTGCTAGAAAACAGAAGGTAAAACACTTGAGCTTCTTTCACTCTGACGCTTTTTCACACGAAACCAAATAGTAAAGGAAGTCCGAAACAAAGAAGGTACAGAGTATTTGTTCATGAGCTGGTTTCAGAGCAAGTACAAGCCGCAGATTACACTTTCTGTATGCAATAAAGAAATCAGAAGCCTTTCCTTTGACGCGACAGCGCCGATTCTCTGAGTGTGGAGGAGCGAGCTGGTCAGGCTGGTGGAGAAGTTTCACCACGAACTGTCACACGTCCTTCACGTGAGCAGGTCCAGGAGAATCTGAATGTTTAACGTGCTGCTACCGTCGCTTCTTTGTTGCAGTTGATCAACTAAAAAAAGCCAAAGAGTGTTCTTATTATTATTATCATCAAAGTTAAAACCGCCTGATTAGATTTGGTACAGAGTAGATCTTTTAGGGAGTTTTTAAAGAATGTCTGCACACTTTAGTATTTTTATTTAGTTTTTATTTTTTATTTACATGAATCGCTTTTATCTTGAGCCACTTCATCAAGCCTTTAATGAAAGGGTCAAACATGGAGTTTAATAGAATTAGTTGAACTAAAATGATATTTTTTATAGTTTCCACCTCGAATCAAAATGTTGGCTGACGAAGACAAACCTGCTTTTAACGTTTTACAGTTCCTTCAAATGACAGAAGGTTTAAAATCAGCGTCGAGTTTCAGTTTTAACGCTGCTCCTCCGTTCAGCCGACGCTGCAGGAGACTTTATTTTGTAATAAAATAGAATAAAAATCAAACTTACTGTATCCCTCTGCACAGAAATACACATTTATATCCTGTAAGTTTTGTTGCAAACAGACAGAGAGCCACTCGGCTGCATGAAGATACACGTGTAAATATGTTTGTTTGTTTGTTTGTTTGTTTGTTTGCTGGCAGTCTTCCAGACGTACTGCAGAACCACCGAATGTACAGATTTTTGTATTAATATTATTAATGTTCATGTTATCATATTGCTCTTTTTCAATAAAACGTCTGCGGACAAACAGAATCAGATTGTTTTCTTGTTTTTAATTTTAACTTTGATCAACTTTACAATAAACTTTGATTTTTGTGTCACTAATAAATCTTTTAGTTGATTGTGAGTCGTTTCAAATCCAAACAGAGTATAAACTGTAGCGCTGCGTAAACTTTTAAACAACAAATCAAAGTGTAAAGTCAGGCAGTGAGGAGAAAATAAATCAGTTAAAATTACATTTGTTTCATATTAATGATAAAAAGAAACGAGCAGCTAAATGTTTAACAGCTCAGGACAAGATTTATTAATGTTTTTAAACTTTACTGAGTTCATAATTGATCTACAGCTCGCAGTAAATGTAAACTCGTTTTGCAGATTTAAAATAAAAACAAAATAAAACCTAAATGTTCATGAAGTGTATCAGTTTAGGACAAATCATGGTTTGAAATGTTTTTATTAATCAGTGTCAAATATAATAATAAATGTTTGATCAACAGACAGACACATTTTAATAACTGATGCTCGTCTAGATTTACATATAAAATTCTTTATTAGCTTTAATTTTAGGGTTTCACTCTTTTATTTAAAAAAGTGTTTATTTCTCATTTTGACGTCCATAAAACTTAAAACCTAAATGTTTTTTTTTTATTTTCCAACAGAAACAGGTCGTCATGTTTCTATAAAACGGTTAATTTGGGGGGATTTTTTTTTTTTTGGCGTGTGCCTATAAATAAGAAAAATGTAATAGTGCAACATACAATCTAGTATATAAACGTTATAATATATAGTTGAATAAAGCTTTATAAATTGAATAAATGTTATTCAGTGGAAGAAATGTGAAAAATGTAATTTTCAGTCGAAACGTTTTCACTCTCACATTAGATCTAATTTAGCTTTTTATTAGTCCATTTAAAAAGTTGAGCAGGAGTAACTTTGACATTAGTTTATAAAGTGGGCGGAGTTAAAAACTGAATATTAATTTGCACGTGATTTTGGAGGCTTCACTCTGCTCCAGCCTGAGAAGACGCCTCCGGCTCGTCGTTCCTCTCATCTGCACGGACTGGGGGGGATTCATCATAACTTTAGTTGTTTCACGTTTTGATTACAGGACCAGAAGGCTCATTAAAGTCAGGTCTGGATCAGAACCTCATGAAGGGCCGAGCGTTGCATGAATGAATGCACGTCACCCATCCTAAAATACACTATGAACACTTTTTTATTTACTGAGCTGTAGCGTGAAAACAACGCTAAGTGTAATCTTACGCAGTTATGTGAAATGCTACTTTCAACGTACGTTTAGGCTCTGACCCTCAGCTACTACCACTCCAAACGCTGGCGTCATATCTGGAATATTAACGGAGTTATTGACATGTTGTGTAGCCTAAAGTTTATGATCTGTGGCAGCCATCTGGAATAAGACTGAATCCAGCTGTAGACGTACATCCAATGATTATATGTCTGAAGTTTAATTGTAATTCCTCAAATTGTTCATGGGATGTTTTGCTAACAGACAGACTGGCTCTAACAGTTAATTGTAATTTGTTTTTCATTCATTCAACCTTTATTTCTACAGGTTACTCCCAACGAGCCTCGAGGACTTATTTACAAGAGAGACCTGATTTTAACAAAGAGTGATGACAACAGTGGACAGTTATAAAAAGGCATACAGATGTTTTTTTAACAAACTGGCAAAAAAAAAGTAACAAAAACAGCTAGATTATAAGTTTTAACTGAAGGTTTTGTTTAATCTGTTGTCACTCAGAAAATATGTTGTGGATGATTCTCAGTTATGAACACATTAACTTTAGGTCGATACCTGTAAAGTTTACTTGTTTTAATCTTTTTCTTTTATTCTCTGAATTTACTGAAAAAAGGTCAGGTTGGCTGCAAAGTTCATTTTTGGACGCATGTCCAGTGATTGGTTCCTGAAAGTTTAGTTCAGTCCAGACAGTGGTTCAGAACAAATGTTGACAACATTTAACGATCGCAGCCGATAATCACAGCAGATTTATTAAATTGATTTTTCTTCTTTCGGCTGCTCCTTCTTTAGGCGTCGCCACAGCAAACTGTCGCACAAAGACTTGACTATTATTTTTACGCCAGATGTTCTTCCTGACCAGCCACAGACACCGCGCTGCCACAGCCTCTGTGGAGCAGAGAGCTGCATCTAGGGCGCCCGGGGCAGCAGGTGGTGGGGGTTAAGGGCCTTGCTCAAGGGCACAGAGTGGGGCAAATGAGGGTGGAGGCAGGTGTGGGTGCTTCATCTTTAACAGCCATATTTTGATGTTGTCTGTACAGGGAGTTGAACTGGCGACCTTCAGATCACAGACACACCTTCTCTAACCTCTGCGCCACCGCTCAGGATTAAATGATGCAACACAATCAGTTGTTGGTAAAACATGAACTTGTTTTTTTGTAAACAAAAGACCTTTTTTTGAGCCCAAACCTGGCACCGGTTTGTTCCGCGCAGGGTGGGAAAGTACGGAGGCCCTTTCCGGTCACACCATTTAATCCCACATTTATTTATTGGATTAATAATATAAAGCTGAGAGCAGGAAGTGCCACATCCTGTCAGAGAGGAAGAGTAGTGGCGCATTGTTGAAGGAGAGCAGCGGCTCTTTCTGTCTGTGTGTAGCGCTTGTTGTGTGTGTGTGTGTGTGTGTGTGTGTGTGTGTTCCTCCAGCTCAGTAAACATCTGAAGGTAAATGCTGCGTTGGTTTCCATGATTCCTGTGTAAACTCCTGACATATCAAGTGTCCGAGTCCTTCACTTTCCTTCACTGTTTGTGTGTGTTGTCTGCGCTCGTTCAGGCCTCAGGCTTTGTAATCTGGGAGCAACAAAACCTGGACGTGCAACACAAACACAGTCTGCACCCCCGGACTAGGACCGGAACGCTTGGCTTCCATTCAGAGACCTGGGAACCTGATGTTCAAACAGGTCCGGCTCTGAAACCAACCTGTGATCCTCTGTGTTTGCGCCGTGGCTGACCTGAAGCCTTCCTGCTTCACACGGACCCCCCGGCAGACCGGACCAGACCATCTTCAGAAACACAGAAACACTGGAATGACCTGCCGCAGCACCATTTATGCTAGCAAGATGAGAAGCAGCTCATGATCAGAGTGAAAAACTCTCAACTCAGTCCAGGAGTCCAGTCTTTGGTCACAGCTGCCAACATTTCAGAATAACGTTTCTCAGTGAGTGAAAACTTTGCATTTCCATAATCTCCAGCTCATAATCTAATCTGTAGAAGTCTCTGAGGATGAGGCTGAAAGTCAATATTGGATGGTCGTGATCTTCGGGTCTTCAGGGGCCACTGCATGAAAACCAGGTCTGGTTCTGGTTCTGTTCTGGGCTCAGGAACTCTTCCACAGATCATCGTCTATAAACACGTTCATCCACAGATGCTGCTTAAAGCTCCATCAGGAAAAGAAGAGCATCCAGAACCATTGCCGTCTTCTCTGGACCAGAGCTCATTTAAACTGGACTGAGGTCAAGTCCAGAACCGTTCTGAGATCAGATGGGGCCAAACCTGAAATTCTGTTTGTAATCCAAGGACTTTAAGTCCTCCATAATAAAGAGGAGAGGGACCATCCAGCCTGCTACCAGCTCACAGTTCCAATGCCTGCCTTCTCTGATGGTATGGGGGTGCATTAGTGCCTCGAACATGGACAGCTGACACATGTAGAAAGACCTTCAGTGAATAAATACATCTACAGGTTTTAGAACAACATCTGCTTCCATCCAGCAAGCAAGTCCAAGAACTGTTGAGTAGCTGGAATTCTCTATCAGACAAGAAAGGAAAAATATTCCCTCTAAAACCTCCACCAACTGGTCTCCTCAGGTCCTCCTCCAAAAC